TTCGAAGCCCTCACCCAGAAATCACCTAAGAAAATAACGAAGGTTCTTTTGCCTGAACAAAAAATCTATTGTAGGGCACAGTTGGATTGGAGCTGAAAGTGTGGCGCCAGTGAGACGAATTCAGTCTTGAAGCTCGGGGTTTTGGGGTGTCTGCAGGTCCTGCGTCAGGCTTTGAAAAAATGAGTCTTGGGAGATTAATTCATTGCCTGAACGGTTTCCCGTGTAGGCCCAGGCATGTGCAGGAGGAGTATGTTTCACCTTTCTTTGGAGTCCACAGACATTGTCGGTCGAGCTTTGGTAGTTCAGGAGAAGAGAGAGAGAGAGAGAGAGAGAGAGAGACACACAGACAGACGGAGAGACAGAGAGACACAGAGAGACAGAGAGGGCGAGCGAGAATCAGAACCGGATGTGCGGATTCTTCGATTCGAAGCTTAAGCTAAGCCCCTTACTTAATAGGAGCCGCCCGCGCCCCCGGCCCCCGAGCCCCAGGACACTACGCAGAGCATGCAATGAAGGGTAAGACCGAGTAAGTAACGCTTGCAAGCGTGGGGCTCGCGTACCCAACATGCAGGATTAGCAGGCTGGAGGTCTGCGTAAGGGGTCAGAGCCATGTGGAGCTCATCATGCTCAGCTTTTATTTGAACATAGACTATTGGGTCCCGGGACCCTTTGATTCCAGACATGGACGAAATTGTGCCCTTTGCAGGTGCATCAGGACTCAGAGCATCGCCTCCCTGGGGAAGAAGCTGTCGCCGGCGAGTCCCATCTGCTTGACAAGGCTGCAGTCGCCTTCATCAGCCTTCCGACTGGAGTAGTCTGTTTTCATGCTTTCTTACACGTGACATGACACACAGTTTTGACGTTAACGTCTGGCAGTGGTGCCTGAATCTGTTGATTTTCCGTAGGCAATCTACACAACACCGCGTTCTTAGTTTGAATCTTGACTTCTCGGTTCAATGTTGCCAGGCGAGGCAGCAGCTTCGAAAGTAAGGTAAACTGTCAGAGGCACACTCTTTGCTCAAGCTCTTCTTGTACGCGTGTCGGTCGACAGTTTGTCCAATAGGTGCTGTATTGAGTGATAGTCTCAGACACCCTGAGTTTGTGTCGACAGTCTTAGTCTCGTCCACGGCTACGAAACTTAACTTTAAACAGTTAACCTCATTAGGTCAGAGTCGGAGGCATTCGGTCCGAAAGCATGAAACTTACTTTTGTTGCTGGAACCAGTCAGCAAGAAACAACCGGAAAACTCACACAGACTAACTTGCTTGGACGTGAAGTGATTGCCAGAGCCAGTGTTAATGTTGTAACTCGGGGGCAGACTCCAAGACTCAGGAGCACAGGGGCAGCGGGACAAGGAGCTTCAGAAGTCCAACCCACTTGTGAAAAACACGTACAACCGGCTGCCATCGTATGGCACTCTTCTGTCCCTGGACCATGCACTGCATGCAGTTTTGGGTGATGGGTTAAAGCTCTTCCTGCCAGATGCTGACCAAGACAAGGAGCGCTCGTTGCTGGAGTTGCCGTCCCTTGTTGTACAGGCGGATCAGGGCCCCGACGTGGTGGCGCCAATGTGGTTCAGTTTACACCACTTGCAGTTACGGCTGGTGTATATTCCGGACATCCGGCACCAATTGGTGCGGGTCATGGCGAACAGCTGCAAAGCTGCAAAGCTGCAGGCGCAAGTGGCCTTGTCGGACATCCTTTTAACTGTGATGCAAGGACCGTGGACAGACCACAAGTGGTTTCAGGTCATCCGCGAAGAAACAGAAAGTTACTTGAAGGCGGCTGCGCTCGACGGGCATCCGTGCAACGCGCTGTTGCGCAAGCTGCTGCCGTCTATAGTGCGCGAACAGCGGCTGGAGCGATGGGACGTCGACGCAGAGCTGGTGCACCAGGCGCTGAGTGGCGCCTGTTTTCTGCAGAAAAAGGGCATCAACAACAGCTCCCGCTGGGATGCTTTCCACTCGGGCTTCAGAGAGAGAAAAGCAGAGTGGTCGCTGCTTCTCCTCGTTTTGCTCACGTATGGCCTGAAGCTTGGATACGTGACAAATGAGACGCTCAACGACCTGACCCCCCTCGTGGGTGCAGGCAAGAGCGCGGCAGCTGCAGAGGATGATCAGCCGCTGCTCCGAACTGCGAAGGCTGAGAAGGCAGCCCTGTACACGAGGTGCCGCAACAAGTTGCATGTTGCAACAGTGTGCCTCGCAAATGGGCCGCTCATGCAGGATCTGCACCTGTGGTTTTGGGCATCTTCGCCGGTGAGAGGGGAGTTGAACCGTTGCCGACGAGATCTCAAGGGCCGGGCAGACACCTGCAGACATTTGCAAGACTTGGCAATCGGAGAAGGCCTCGTCCTCGTGAGTGAGCTTGCAGGTATCTGTCACAACCAAGAGGCACTACATGACGTGGGCATCTTGCAGCAAGATGAAGTGGTTGGCATTGTTCGCTTTGCCCGTGATGGTTTGGACAGCCTGGAAGTCCGAGTCCAGGACGAAATCATGGAAAAATTGGTCTGGACGACGCTGGGCCTCATGCACCACATGATGTTCGACCTGTGTCATCACATGTTCGGGTGGCCTTTGAGGTTTGCTGCTCTTCTAGACGAAAATCATAAAGCCACATGCCTTCAAGAGATGAAGGAAACTTGGGAGGCTTGGGAAGCTGCTCAGGTGATGCCGGGACAGTCCTGGAAAGCCCTGTGCAAACGAAATCCGCTCCGAACGACCTTCTGCAAGGATGTCTTTGTGAGAGTCCAGCGCGATGGCTGGACAGTGTCTGCAGACACGAAGAGGTACCTGACCGACATCCTGTCTGTGTGTTCTCCTGCACGTACAACGAGGAGGCGTTTTCAGTGCTGCGGCAACTTGAAGAGAAGGACAACAAGAGGCACAGAATGAGCAATTCGGATGTGTGGGCTTCGGCTTCTGAAGGCCGCGTACTGGCTCGGTTTGGATACAGAGAGGTGGAGTCTGATCCAACTGTGCTGGCACCTGATTTGCCTGAGGGTCTGTTCCACACCCGAAGCAAGTCAGCCAGCGTTCCGAAAATTCGGGAAATCACTGGTCGGGCCACCTGGCCCTCGATGAAGCCATTAGATGCTGCACGCATACCAGCAGAAGTTCAGTCAATGCAAATGATGCACAAAAAGAAAAGAATGCAAGATGTGAGTATGACATGGAGAACCAGTTTTCTCACACGCGGGATGATCGTCCGACATGTCAGCAAGAAGAAGGAGTACAAGCTTTGCACAGGCGTGTGGCCCCATGGAGCAAGCACGTGCCTCTTGCCGATGGAGCGGTACGAGCTCAAGAAAGGGATTTATGGTTTCAGACTCCAAGCCCCACTGAGTCGCGACAAGCTTTCCTGGGCACAAGTCTACAATTTTGCTGACTACGAGGTCATCAGGGCTAGAGTGGTGAGCCCCTTGCACTTCGGGCATGCTACGTCCAGAGGCCTGCTGAACGTTCCGATCGGGGAAGGGCCGTGGATCGAGGAGGACAAAGCTGGCGTTCCTGTGCTGGAGCATTGTGCGAGGAATGGATTCTTCGACATACCCGCAAAGTTCTTGGAAATTCTGCTTGAGGCTAGATGCCAGTGGAATAAAACTCTTGTTGAGACCTGAGTCCCGAGTTGTTAAGTTCAGTTTATTCCGTATGGATAAGAAAGGCGTCCTGAACTAAACCTCCATCATGAGCATTGGCGCCAGGAGGAGTACGACAAGTCAGTGGAAGCCGTGCAGGCGGATGACTTCCTCGCGGAAGTGCTTGCGCCTTGCATTTCAAACACACTTAAATGCAGCGATGCAGCCACTGCTCAAGTCCTGGAAGCAAA